GTTTTATTCTCCTCGTTCCTAGGCTGTCTAGATAGAGATCCTAACCACCACGCAAGAGAATTCTCTCCATCGACACTCGGGGTGAGCGGCTGTTATAGTTACCAATAGTTTGTCCATGATAACCTTTCATTTGTTATGTTCTTTTGTAATCAAATTCTTCGGAAATTATGTTGCTGGCATAATTTTCTCCCACTCTATTTTCGGTCGATAAAGTTAGTTAAAAAAATGGGGAATACGGTAATTATTCAGAAAGGATGCTTGCCAGCTATATTGTTTTAAATATTGAACCTAGACATGAACTTCCAGCTGCAAAAGTTCTCAAAATAAAGCATGCTTTTTTTAACAAATATCAGAGTTTTGTAAGTATAAAAATTAAACTTTTTTGTAGCCTTCACTTAATATTTCTCCAGCTTTCTGTTGGTGAAATGCTAATCATGCTTTAATGAGTTAACCAGAAAATGTTATATAAATTTCGCAATCATATATGCAAGAACAAATTTAGTGACTTAAATCCACTCTCTATGCTTGCATTCGATTTAAATTAGAACCTGAAAACAAATTTATAAACCATCTGCAAATCAAAAGCTATTCATTCCTTTTCGTCGACAATGTTTCCATCTAAAGTAAAATAACATTGATTACGAAATTTTGATTGAGTCTCTGAAAATATTTGTCGAGCTGGTTATATACATATGGAGTATTTTGCTTTTAATTAAATAAAACACTATGCCCGTTTTATTAATTTGAAGGTTGCAGAGATAAAACTCTACATTTTACATTTATCCGCATCTGTAATTGAAAAGTTTAAAATTACTTTCATAAAATAATCTACCTAATGATAAGAAATTTTATCGTAGGAAGTAAACGATTAAAATTAACATTTCAGAAAATAAATCTATGAGCAGTAAATCACATAAATTTACCGCTGTTGTGATGAGTATCTGAACTGCGTACGATGACCTACACAATAAGAAGTACGCCATTAAGCCTTTCAGAAAAAGCAGACTGAAAAAATTTCCACATTTGACACAAGCACAGATATTCTTCATAGAGGGTAGTGACCTGGGCTATTTACTAACGAATCTTCTGTAATAGTAATTGGCGAATTTCGGCAATGTGTTATATATATTAAAACAAATAAAGAAAGAAGTACTTAGTTCAACGTAGCATAATAAGCGTCACCACTTCTAAATCATCTCATGCGCTCAATGTTTCCTCATTACAGAACGTAAAACTACCGACTCCTTCTAACGTTTCTAACGTACAATTTCTAATAAATGATATAAGTATTTATTTTTGAAATTTAAGGGTCTGTTTTTTCTGGATACAGAGCAAATAATATAGATCTCCCATCTTCACTTTAATGAGAGAAATCTATATTATTTACAAAAATTTCCATTTGGCTCTAAGAGAAGTTGGTTATTTGAATACCCCAAAGAGGCAGGAGGGTTAACTGTCTAAGACGAGAAAACCTTCGAAGACTTGTTTTCTTACACTGAAGAATGTTCTAGCAGAATATTTCTCGTTACACACAGCGTAGACAACGAAACCACGCATGCAAACAGTCCGTTCATCTGGGTTCGGACCCAAATGGAACTACTAATTTTCAGCAATCCTGGTGCGGCATGTTAAGCGAAGAATCAACTTAAAATGAGCTTAATCCGAAGCAACTTAAACATTTTAAAGTTTAAATTAGCTTTCAAAGACAATTAAGGGAAATTTGATATTGCTTTAATTTTTGCTCCATGCAAAACCTCTTTTGAATTACACTTCTTATCACAGCATATTTGAAAGTATAAAATACAAATTCGTGTCATACCTCCTAACAAATATACAGCACATGTTTAAATACCGACATTTTACCGCCCCATTTTTGGTGAAATGAAGCACTGCGTAATTGGTTAAAAATCTGAAATGGCGCTGTGAATTTATTAATATTTCCATACGCTTCGATCAAAAATTTAAAAAGGCAGAAAAGTGTTTAATGAAAGCACAGTAATCATATTTTTCAAGTCTTGCAAATACGTTTACAATAACGTATTTTCTCGTCTAAATGAATAAGCAATTTTCGTGATTACATAGCAGCAGACAAAATGCATAAATTAAGAAAAAATAAATAAATAAAACTTTAAACTCATTCAACTAACTTTTTAACTTTTTAAACTCATTAAATTTTTTTCATTTCTTTAAATGTAAAGCACTTTGTAGATTTATCTTTTAAAGGGAAAAATGTACTTTCATTATTTTACTTGAGATGTTTTGTGGTTTGATATTTCTGTTTAACTATATTATTGACACGAAGAGAAATGTTTCTCTAATAACAATGTTGGCCTTGCATTTGTTCTTTTTGAAGGTTATTCTGAGGTTTGTTATTTTAAACACCGTATACGGAACGAATGCACTATTTTTCAAGCAGAATGTCTGTGCATTTATCTTGACATCAAATGGATCAAGGATAATGGGACAGCATCCTCAAGGTACCTTATTAGTTCTGATTCTCTTTCTTCTCTTCACCTTTTGAACAATACTACCAGCAGCGAGAAATTAATAATTGAAACCCTATTAACCGTCAGTTCGCTTAGAAATAGGGGAATTGATATCCGCTTTGCTTATGCGCGTGTTCATCACGGTTTCTTTGGAAATGAAAGAGCTGATTTCTTAGCTAAAGATGCCTTAAATTACCCATTGATATCAATATTAGCATTCCAAAGACCTGTTGGAAGTCCTTTCATTATAAAAAGCTTTTAGCTAAGTGGAATGAGGAATATATCTTGTAATGCTGAGGTCACGAAAAAGTTCCTTCCTACTATTTCCCATAGACTGCATTCCGAGTCTTTCCTCTCTATTAATTTAAAAATTTCTCAGTTTTTATATGGTCACGGTAAATTTGCATGTTACTTGTTTCGTTTGCATATTACCGATCTAAGATCAAACAATTTATGTGAATGTTCTAAAAGAGTACCTCAAGATGTGGAATATTTAATTTTCTCATGCCCTACATTATACTTTCAGAGCGATTTGAAAATGTTCGGAGTGACTTGGCCAGTAAACTTATCTGTTTTTGTGAAGTCCAGACTGCTGTTCTCCGCTTTTGTTCATTTTATTTATGCCTGCAACTTTTAATGTTTTAGTTAACTTACTTCTGTAAATCCTGTCTTGTACATCTGTGGTGCACGGGAAGATTGTATGTGTTCAAATAAAAACAAATTGTGGAAATTGTTTTATATGGAACGCCCCCCCAGGGGCCGAATGGCTAAGACTGCTGAATGCTGGTAGTTTGACTTGGCTTGGGTTTCATCACAGGAGAATGAGCTGGCTGCAAGATTGTTTTTTGTTATTTTTCCACATGTAACGTGAATGCGAGCCAGTTTCTCTCAGAAAATCTTCCATTGAGGTATCTCTCCACTTAGGATTTCTCGTATTTTTGCCGTATTCGAATAACGTAATCTAGCCTAGTCATTCATATAACACAATTTTGAAGAAGCCAGAATTCTGTTTTCTAATTTTAAGTGTACTAATTCTGAATTAACTATGTGTTTTGTTAGTCATAATTGTCAACTAACTTTAGAAATAGAAAAAAAAAAAAAAAAAAGATTTGAGATTTGCCAACTGGATACTAAAATTCAATATGAAATGTTCATTAAGTGCTGTACTTTCGACAGTGACAAACTATCAGCTTTCAAACAGGAATAATCAAGAAAATTCATTAATTATATTTTAAGACAAAAGAGAAAAAAGCTTCAGAATTTATACAAGAAATCAGCAGATATCTTCCGAGTAAAAGAAGAATCACAATTTTTTTGTTTTCAAACACTCTATAGAAATAGATTGTTTGGATACTTCCAAGAGTTATTATTGATCTGCAAAGGAAACTTAAAAAAGTGCGCAGAGTTCGCTGGAAAATATTAGAAAGGAAAATAGAATATTTGTATAAAATGCTACATCCGGCTAAAAAATAAGAGTTCTGTTTAAAATTTATGGGAAATATAAATAAAAAAGTATGATAATATCTTTCATAGTGAACTATCTTCATCTTATGATCTGATCAAAAACTTTATTATTGAAAAAAAAAAATAGCGATAACGCAAACTTCCAAAATCTCTGAAAACAAGTCTAGTAGAAAATTATGCAGCCAAGTAACATCAAATGACATACAGGTCATCATATATGCATACAAGGCTGCTTCCTGTTATATAAATGTAAAATATATAGATATATAGATAGAGAGACAGACAGACAGATAGAGAGCACCTTAAAAATAAAAAGTTACATTAAAACATGCACCATGCACTTTGAGAACATCTACATCTAATCTGGTAAAAATAAGTTCAACGGATCACATTACTTAATTTTGTTCTCACAATGCCAGAAAGAGAATGCTGTATTTAGAATAAAATTGATTTTCAGCATTGGTTTTCTATTTTGAGTAAATTATATAAAATTCTATTCATCGGGAATAAATAAAAAAAATATTCTAACAGTTTTGCACAGAACAATGTAGTATATAAAATGTATAACACCGTGCGGAAAGCTATTTACTTTGAAATCAATTTTAGGAATCTTTTTCGCTTAAACTGACATAACTAAAAGATTCATATTTGTATATCAATTTCGAATGTTATATATGAATTAATAAATTTTATTTTAATTTTTTCACTATTAGAAAAGATCACAGGCAGCTTACGAAATCTTATATTACACCACCAGTTAAAATTCATTTTTTATTATTGAGAATTTTTGTTAAATATTTAATTGAATTATATATTGGTGATTATTACTCTTGCATGGATTTATATCTTATGTATGAATTAAATGTGTTGATGCATAATTTTTATAAGTGTAAAATATAGATTTCATTTTGTAAATATCAGTGATATTTTCTAGAAATATGGTGATAATAACAAGAAAGGTGGTGTGTATGAACATAAAATCAAATCATCACTTTTACACGAAAGATTAATGATACTTAGATAATAACTAACATAATTTGAACAACTTACCTTTCTGAATACTCATCACGGTGAGCATAACTTTGTACACTATCTTCTTCTATTAAAAATTTCATTTTTTGATAAAATGTTGCAGTAACGGCTGGCGGTTGCTTTCGCAAAAGTATATCCAGGGGGTCAGGAGCAGTGACACACATTATATTATCTTTGCATTCATCTTTGACGCAACATTCACTGTCGGCGCAATCAGTCAGACCATCTAAAGAAACATTCAAAAGACAATATTTTAATCATTAAATACATAATCAGATAAACAGTGTTTTGATCACAAAATTTATATCAGATTCAGTTAAAATTATAAGTAATATATTTATTACAAACTGATTTCGTTTATGATATAAAATATGTAATGCAAAATATGTCAACCAAAACTATGCTGACCTTTTTTGAGGAACATGGTGTTTAAAAAGAACTTAATATAAAGCAATTATTATTTACTTAAGTTATTTAAAAGCAACTAAATTAGAGTACTTTGATTTTAATGATTTTACAGAATATATAGGTTCTGTATTGCCTATGAAATTCGAAAATTTTAAACTTTCTAGTGGACAGTCTAGCAACAATTTCTAATGAATGAATAATTAATTCAGTTCAGAAATGGATACTTAATTTTACCCATACAGAAAGAGAAAACTAGTCTTAGTTTCAAGATTGTTTTGAATTATCTAATTCGAAAACTTTAGATATATAACAAAACAAAACAAAATAGTGAATAAAGTATCTAAATGAAAATAAACAAAAATCTGATAGTTGGGACGAACTTTATAAATCAAGACGCGGTGGTAATGATAAGTAATCCAATTAGAATTTATTGGAATGTTAAAATTACGTTTTTTTCCGTCTGTCTAACTAGCGGTATTCAAATAAATATAAGAGGACCTCTCATGTAAGAAAGGAAAAAATAATATCCGCATATACAAATACTAAATGTTTAGAAACTTCAAGCGAATTAGTTTATGTATAAATAATTTTCAATTTCTCATATTTAACGAATATTTTTCACGAATATCTTAAGATAAAACATTTCTCTATGAGAACATGAATATTCAGCGTATAGATGGCTAATAACCAATATTTATGACAGAAATAATAACGAGGTGTTTCACATCTGTTAGATAATACTATCATCTCATTTCGAAATACCTGTAATGAAAGTACTAGTAGTATGGAAACTTATTCCATTATGTGTTTACCTATTTCACTTTATAAGGGATTTTATCCTAAGGAAAGACAAAGCTATTGTTTTCTTTCGTAAATGCACTTTCTGCATACTAATTTTCTGCATTTCAGTTTTCATTTGAATAAGCAATAGCACAGCAAAATAAAATAGCGGTTCTAAGTTATTTGAGTTAAACGTTCGACGAATAAAGATTACTGACTTGCAAAGGGAAAGCGAATCAGCGTAATATTAAAACATTGATTGATTTCGAAGTTTTAAATATAGAACTTTCTTCTTCAGCAGCAGAAGTGTAGATGACGAAAGGGAATCCTGAGCACACGCGATAACAATGAGAAGAAGGAAGATAAGCTACTTGCGCCATTTATTAATGAAACATGAAAGGAACTGCGAAATAATTTCCTTAAAAACTGAGAGTAAAGAAGGAGTGGAACTGGAATCGTTAACGGGAACTGAAAAATTTGTATTGATGTGAAACACCCCTAGAAAATTTAATTCGCAAAAGAAAAACGCTTTTTGAATAATTTTTGGCTCTAAAGGAAAATAAAATTTCTTTTTGACCAACAGGGAGGATTTGTGTTCCTTTTCCCCTAACATACGCCTCTTGTTACTTAGTGAGAAATTTTAAGGCTCTCTTAATTTCGCGTATGCTACTTAATGCACATTGGCAAGAAATTCTGTATACACACCAGGAGTTAAATCCGTAATGGGATCTTTAAGTACCGATATGGGAATTTTATTGACAGAAAAAAAAAACCCGAAAATTCAATTTCTGTAAAACGCGTGCAATTTTTAATCGATGGAAAGAACAGAATGACAACTGAATTCTTATAATCTCCTAAAACGAGAGAGTGCGACTTGATGTTACGAGATTAGAATTTTTTAACCGTTTGGTCAATAATATTAAGTGAAAAGCCTGTCTATAGCAGCTGCTTTTAGGTAGTTTAGTTCTTGATCAAGCGCCGACTTAAAGAAGCAAAGATGGAATGCAAGGAAAACTTAAAAATTTAATCCTTTTAAATTTTAATGATTTTACAGAATATATAGGTTCTGTATTGCCTATGAAATTCGAAAATTTTAAACTTTCTAGTGGATAGTCTAGCAACAATTTCTAATGAATGAATAATTAATTCAGTTCAGAAATGGATACTTAATTTTACCCATACAGAAAGAGAAAACTAGTCTTAGTTTTCAAGATTGTTTTGAATTATCTAATTCGAAAACTTTAGATATATACACAAAACAAAACAAAAATAGTGAAAAATAAAGTATCTAAATGAAAATAAACAAAAATCTGATAGTTGGGACGAACTTTATATAAATCAAGACGCGGTGGTAATGATAAGTAATCCAATTAGAAATTATTGGAATGTTAAAAAAATTACGTTTTTTTTCCGTCTGTCTAACTAGCGGTATTCAAATAAATATAAGAGGACCTCTCATGTAAAAGGAAAAAATAATACCCGCATATACAAATACTAAATGTTTAGAAACTTCAAAGCGAATTAGTTTATTTATGTATAAATAATTTTTTCAATTTCTCATATTTAACGAATATTTTTCACGAATATCTTAGAATAAACATTTCTCTATGAGAACATGAATATTCAGCGTATAGATGGCTAATAACCAATATTTATGACAGAAATAATAACGAGGTGTTTCACATCTGTTAGATAATACTATCAACTCATTTCGAAATACCTGTAATGAAAGTAATTTCAGCTAATAAATGGATTTTCAATTCATTTGTCTTCATAACACAGACTAACCTATGGTGAACAATGTGTTCGAATTATCAAACAATATTTCGTTTTAGTTCTGTTTCTAAAGTCTTGCGTTTAAATTTATGCTTATATTTGTTTTCAAATATCTTGCTTAAAATAAATGGTTTGACAAACGGAGTCAATTATAGGAAATAAAATACTAGAAACTGTTAACTGGGTTCGAAGCATTTTCTTTCTGCATCGTTGTTATTCGTTCATTATTTTTGCTTAACGCATAAAATTCGGTTTACTATAAAGCAATCCGCTATAAAAGGAAAATTATAACAACCTATTGTAATTTAAATTTTACAGTAAGCATATATTGAAAACTCCGTCAATGTAAATAGAAAGAAAACATTCTTTTTGATTAAAAAAAAGACCTGCATTAAATCTTTCCTTGATGACACCAGATTATATTATAATTCAAATATAGGATAAAAGTAGAAACACTATATCACAAAAGGCGCAAGATCAACCGAGCAGATAAGCTCCGGTAATCCAGATAAGCTCTGAGCAGTGAACCTGTTGTTTACAAGTGTGTTTAGCGTAGTTTTCTTCATGTCTAATTTCTTATTCTCTTAGGCGATTATTTGCGAAAACGTCTCTTCCCTTACGAAGACAACCTGTACAGCGATTTCGTATTTGTCGAAAGAACATTCGAACTTTGATACGTTTTTAAAAGATGTATTAGTTCAAATATTTGCCTAAAACTTTATTTTTAATACTTAATTAATATTTTGTTATACTCTTTTAGTCTCCTCCAAGCCTCTGTGCATTGCTCTGAAAATCTTTGTTGTCACGCAAGCCATACGTTGAATAGCTGCTAAAGCTAACTTAAAAAATTACGATGCACAAAAGTACTTGATAGTCGAGGTAATATTTATTACAAACCATTGCCATATGGAATATACAATATATATTAATTATTAATATACATTTTAATTCTATTAGAAAACCGGGTGCAAATACTTATGTAGTGGGAGATTTTTTTAAAAGTTAAATCTTAAGAAATGCTTTAGACTTGCTGTCTGTTAAACTTTGGCAAAATTCGGCAAATGTACTAAATTTAATTAATAAAACGCAAATAATTAAAAACATTTCGTTTCCTAGGAAATAATCAAAATTCATATTAATAATTAAAAATTATATTTTTAATCTTAGCAGCGATGACGCAGATTTGACTTTTAAGTCCATTTTCGCCTATTTACTTACTTTCAGGTATAATATATATACACATCGCAGTTATTATACTGCATTAAATTAAACAAGAAGTTTAAAATAATAGGGAAAAGCATTCAATCCAAAATAAAAACATACGATCCAGAATTAGCTTATTGCATTTAACAGAGCTCCTTTTTGTATTTAATGGAAAGGGAATTGATCCAATTTACTGTTAACTATTTATAAAGTTAGAATATTTCTGTCAATAACTTATAAAATTCAAATCAACGGATTCTCTGTACTTTTATGCAGAGATCTTATTTCAGAATAAAACAGTATGTATTTTCATTTTCTTAAAAAAATTTTTTGCTATATTATTATATTAAACAGAGAGAGGTGAATATTCAACAACGTGCTTCTACAGATATAAATTTTTCAGACGTTCGAGATTCATTGGACGTTTCGTAGGCTGCACGCGTACTTCTACTTACGGTGTAGCTGACGAATACTGTAAAATTCATGAATATTGCATGCATTTTTGCAATATTCTTAGAGTGGCTCACGGAGAGAGAGATAAAATTTCACATCTGAGACCGACATCGAAGTGTTAAAATGATACTAGCGGACATTTTAAGGGGTGATGCACTGATCTAAGGCCGTTGCTATCACATTTTCTTATAAAAACAACCAAAAAGTGCTCTTATGTCCTATCAGATAATATTTGCAACAATATTAGTTCAGTTTTAAAACTGTCATTTTATTCTAGGGAAATTATATGCATCTGCGATAAGGATTTAAAGATGAGAATGGATAACTTAACAACTATGAATGAGAAACTACTCAGATAAACACTGAATATGAATGAGATTACTATTTAGATAGTCTTATTACAAGAGATCACTACCAGGAATGGTATCAATTTTTATAATTTTGTTTGTTTTAATAAATATTTGTAAAATAAATATTTGTTTAATCAAAGTAAGCAGCTATTTTTATTCTTGATAATTTAATAAATTAAATTATTGCTAACATACAATAAATTTGAATCATAATTTTATTTCCTTTAAAAAAATGCTGGATAATTGGTTAAACACG